GCAAAAACTGTACTGTAAGTGAATCTGCGCTCCGCTTTCATACGGCCACGGCTAACTGACCAATCAGCGCCGTGCTTACAACTTCAAGGCTTTGTTATTGTGGAAAGATGGCGAGATACATCATACAGTTTGAGGAGACGAAAATAGTCATTCCTAGCTTAAATAACAATCAACGATACTTAAAATGGATACGAATGAAGTCTTTAGGAACTATGTGAACTAGGTAAATACTCTAGCATGCATGTTATATGTGAAAACCCCCGAAAATACGTAATACAGACATCGTGATTTGAACATGTTACGCTAATAATAGTATGGCGGCCATCCCATGATTCCGATGTTGTCGTCTGCTATCCTCCTGAGTTATCTTCTGTCTTCTCATAAAATCCCGGTAAAGATTTAGTCATCAGTACCTTTAGCTTGTGATTCGAGCGTTACTACCAAACTCGTAACATTTGTTTATTATTTCAAACTTCAACATAAAAAATGACTATGTCAATGCCTTTTTTGTTTTGTTTTGTTTTGCTTAATCTATTCTCTCCCCCATGGTCCAGGTGGTGCATCTAGTTCTGCAGCCGCTCTCTCTTTCCTAACTGCTTTGATACCGACAAATTTCCACCTGCTTCTTGTTTCCTTGTGACCCTTTACATGTTCAACAGATTTTAGATCCGACGGGAGTCCTTCTGTCAGTATTGCAACACACAAGAGACAAGCAAATATTCACGCAACCCAAGTCATGCTGTTCTGAAAATGTATTAATCTGCCTTTACTGATTTTATTCAACGTTTTATAAATGATAAAAGATTCTTACCCAAGTTGCATGTAGTTGGGATACGGACTAACACTATATAATGTGTAATAAGACACAGTATATATACCATTATCTAAATGAATGTCATATCTGAAGTTGATTAACAAAGAAATATTCAACTTTGTTCTTAAAAGTGGATAACATCGAACGTCTATAGCTATAGCCCCTGATGAACGCAACGGATTAAAATGTACTAGATTACATAACGAGTTATTAAATAAAAGCGACTCTAACAGCTTGGACACAACATCAATACACATCAATACACATATGTGTATATGCATTTATATTGTGAAAAACATACAAAGTGAATATAACGGCAAATTGAACTCAAAGTTGTTGAAACATTGGCAAACACAAATACGAACAAAGGTATAAATAACGTGGAATGTTTGGAACTAGGACATTAGTATAAGACCAGACTGTAAAGGTATATTCGTCTTCTACGTCATTAGCGACAGCATCCACATATAAATCTGGATACAATCCAAGTCAAGTCATCAAAGAGTGAATCTGTGTAGCGACGACGAACCACAAAGCACATAAAGGAGCATAATTAAAGACATACCTTACAGTCCCATAATTAAAATTAGATATATGAAAATAACGTCAAGACGGCGATTAAAACGCATTGTCTTAGTCTTTAAGCGGGTAGGGACGGGGGATTAGGGACGTTTTATGAATATAATTACGATCGTTAAAATCAGAATCGTTAAGGTCTTCGAACAGCTTAGTTGTAAGCCGTCTCTCTTGGTAGTGTTGTCAGGAAGGTCGAGATAAGCAAATGATAAAGACGTAAACCGATAAAAAAAAAACAACTAAACAGCTACCATCAAATTCACCAAAGACATTGTCGGCCAGAATTCATTCAAAAGTATTTTATAGGTGTTGACCTTTTTACTATCTTCATTCAAATGAGACCTAGGTACTTCTGCATGTTGTTTAATGAAAAACGCTTTGTGAATGGTGATTTTCCCTTTTTTCCTAGAGAGCATCATATTCACTCTTTGAAATAGAAATAATTCTTTCCATTGACTTTATCCCGGCATTTGCTTTAACTTTGCAATCCTGAGAGTTACTTCAGTTTAATTGTTTAGTGTACACTAACTTCCTCCATTTAAAACAGTTAAAAAGGTAGCCAAATCTTGTAATTACATGATCTTGAGACAGCAGCGCAGACGATATTGAAAACAATAGAGGTGGCTCTTGATATTTTAAAAATATGTGTGTTGTATCAGTAAAATAAAACAGTTAATCTTTGAGATCAAGGTGTTTATGAAGTTATTGATTCTGATCAACTAGCGTTTTCTTTAGGTTTCTTTAGTTTCGCCTAGGGATATAACTTGGACGTAGATTCAGAAACATGTTATGTCCATCTAGCCCATACCAAATGCTGCTTCAAAAGTTAAGTATTACGGAAGCATCCCAACGAACAGGCTTAACAATCCAAATCTGTGCGAAATCATTGACAATGCTATGAAGCTAGTTTAAAATGGAAAAAAAGGTTAAAACTGATTCAGAAGAATCAAATTGTAATGAGTCGTCTATAATTAGTTTGCGTAGGGCAGAATAACTTCTCGGTAATCTCCGTTAATTCCTTACGGAAATGACCGAGCTCGTTAGGTGATAGGTGGCCAGACCATTTACTTAACTGATCTAATTATTAATTGTATAGTAGCACAGGTTAGACGATATTGAAATAATAAAAGTTGCTCTGGATAAGTTAAAAATACATGTTTGTATCAGAAAAAGAAAACAGTAAATCAATCGGATCAAGGAATTTATGAAATATTTAATTCTGATTAACCAGCGTTTTTATTTATATTTCTATAGTTTGCCTAGGGAAATAACCCTTGACGTAGATTTAGAAACATGCGATAGCCCTCAAGCCAATAACTGATGCTGCTTCAAAAGTTTACCTAAGCAGCTTGACGAACTGGCTCGAATGTGTGCAACATCATCAACAATTTTATGAAGCTAGTTAAATCATATTCGTCAACATGTTCATTATAGGAATTTAGGCAGACATATAATTGACTAGCTACTTACTCAGTGTGATCAGACATGTTGAAACGGGAGTCTCTCTATCGTAGATGTGGTGAAAACATCACATCAGCTCTCTGTTTTATACTTTTTTGATTTGACGTAAGGTAATTTGGTATTCGTCACCATATTCAGTCATTGTGTCAAAATATAGATACATTTCCCTATAACGGGAAGGTTTGATATGGCATCAAAGAACGAATATGTCACATTTATGACATGTACAATGAAATACCTGTTCTTTATACCTTTACTTATATTTAACATACATGCACCAGATGTTGCTTGCTCGCCTCAACTTATTTTTTTCATCAGCAGTTGAATAAGGCATTATCAAATTGATCCATACGTAAACGTCAAATTATGTTGTTTGTCTTGAACATCTAAAACTAATATATTAAAAAAATGATTAACTAAGGAAACACAAGCTTCAAATAAGGATTTATTTTTTTAAATTGATTATCGCTGTAATAAAAATAAAAACAAAACTTAACTTTTCATTACAAATATTGGTATAACTCTGCCACAGATGTGATGATCACATCCTTTGTACAGAACAATAATTCCATATGTTTATACAATAAAGGCATCTATTAAGTATCATAGTATGATTAGAAATACGATATTTGGTATCAGTCGCCATATTTAGTCATTATGTCACAATCCTATTTATTTATTGTCAAGTTCTGGATCACTGTAATATGACAGTTGTTGCAAGTATTGGGGTTACTTTGAGTATTTGAAACGGAGTTTGATACACTGCTGATGTCGCTGAAATCACTGAAAATGTCAGATAGATTAAGAAATGTTACGACAACCGACTGCTCATGGTTTTGGGTTGGGGCTATGGCCAAATGCGTGACGTGACCTATGGGAGGATTACTTGGACCGGGAAGAGCTAGACGATAACTTGGAGCCGGAAGAGCTGGACGATTACTAGCAGCGAGCAGAGCCAGTTGGTTGGATTTGGCAGGTTGCATGGATTCAGTAATTGTCTGTTCCATTCTGATCTTCTCCTCGTCATCCACGCGCTGATACACGGTCAAGGACTGTACGGACTTGTGCCCGGTCACCGACATGATTTGTGCGGGACTATACATACCCTTCGACAGTATCGTGGATCCTGTGGCCCGGACCGAGTGATTGGTGTATATTTGAGATAAGTCACACAATTTGCTTAAGTCCGACATAAATGTGCCCATTTTCTTAACTCCTACAGGTGAATTACAGTACCAGATGGGCTCATCTTCCACAAAACTAGCCACACTCCTTTGCCACAAGCTGTCGTTTTCCGGGTTAAGTTTACTCACATACAGTTCATAGGAGGCCACGGGACAGAACTCGGATCCTGAAAAATAAACGAACAGAATTTAAAACAAAAACAAAAAACGAGTTATTTTGTAGCATTTTATTTGTCGTACTAGTGTGACAAAAATGAAGGAAATTTTATAAAAAAAAAATAACGAAAATTGTTCCATCTTTGAGACTAGTAAAATTTGGCCCCATGACGTCCCATTGATGCCATAGTAAATAATGACGTCAAAACGCCAATACTTTTACGAGTTTCAAAGAGGAAAAGTGTTTTGTTTCTTGACCGATTCTCCTAATATTTTGCAGTCTGTATGTGTACGTTTTGACAGTGACCATGAGGACACACGAAGTGTGTATAACGAAACGTTAGCTCTGGTATGACGTCAGGTAAACATGTACACTACATGTTTTATTTAATACAGTAAAATAGATACCTTGGGATGCTGGCATTATTCCAGATACATTCTCCTTATCATTGGCCCGATGGTTCTTCATCATTTCATCGATCTGTTTCGTCACAAACTTCAGGCCAGTCTTTGGGTCTGTCTTCACCGAAAAAGTGTCTTTTTTCATCAGATGCATGTTCTCTGCTCCTCGTCTGAAAGGAAAATACAATTTGATAATAATTTTCATTGTGGAATTAAAAATGACAGACCAAAAGGCCATTTTTATTTTATGATTAAAATTTGTCAACAAATAATACCAGTAGATTTATTTTGACCACTTCAGTCTTAATTAAATTATTGAATAATATCACCAAAAAGTGTTCTTCTTTAAAAATGTCCATGTTTCAAGGAGTTTGAACTAGCTACTTTAACCTACCAAGGTTTAAATCAAAGGTGAGATACATTTAGTATTGAAGAATTAATGACTGACACTGACAGTCAGTGACTGGCCCTTTGTTGTATTTATTAAGAAAAAAGACAATTCGTCCCCTTATATTTTATAATGGCGAATCGTCCCGACCATAATCATAATGTAAACAAACATTTTGTTAGCACAGAAACCAGGATATTTTTTCGTACGTACCTGAAGAAATATAGACGTATATCGAAATGGATCTTGTTATATAGTCCTGATGGTGTTGTGGTTTTCAGGTGCAGGGATGTGTACACTTTCTCTCTGTCGACTTCATTGATCACAGGGTAATGATCAATCGTTCCCAGGCCTCCCGTTTCAGCTCAGCCATCACTGCCTTAAAATTCATGTTCGCATCGAAAAATGCTGGGTCTTTTATAATGTCAAATTTACGGGTATGTGGTGGGGCCCTCAAATACCGGTTCAATGCATGGCGGATATTATCAAACGACGACGACTTGTATTTCTCCCAGTCTGGTATACGCACGTCCATATAAAAATGGTCCAGAACTTCTGCAAGTCTCACATCATCAAATGACTCGAATGCGGTATCTTGGCACATTTCTGTCAGATATTCCGTTAAAATTCTCGCCGACTTTTGATTAGCCTTGATAGTGTTGTCAGCATTTACTTTCACCCACTTTGTTAACATTTCATCGGCTGTCGTCTGCACAAACCGCTTGGTCGCCATCTTGTTACAAGTTGACTCTTATGGGTAAAGAACGATAACTCTTTCGTACTCACCTAATGTGAGATTCTACTGACCTAATATGAAAATATACTGGATATCATGTGACGTCGTTTTAACCAATAGGACTACAGGATTTTTGCCTGAGGCGGGATAACACTTTTTATCATCAATATGTGAATGAGGACAATGTCCAGTTGATACATACATGTATTTACATGAATCCTGGTTGTTTTTTTTTGTAGAATATATAGAAGTAATATATTGATAAATCAATTAGCCAAGGAAACAGCTGCTTTAAATAAGGATTAAGATACAAATTATACATGCAGTTAATGAAGTTTTCAATACACACAGATTAATAATTTTGAATTTGATTTGATTATAATAAAATGAAAGACAACACAAAACTTTTCATCACAATATTTTTTCATTTTTTTGTTCAAGTCATAACAGTCTTTAACTGTTGTATCATTCAGTGATATACAAAGAGTCGACCCTTTTGTTTTTAGTTTGTGAACATGGACCTAAACTAATCAATGTAATAAAAAATAAACTCTAAACAGAATTGTTTGTGTGGTTTTACTCTATGCTACCATCCGTTTGTATTTTGGCATCAATATGTCCCGTTTGGAAGCTAAAGAAATCTACATATCAAAGGTTGCCTTTGAAGGTTAAATGCCAAAATATCACGAAAATTCAAAATCAAGAAATCGGCAGCAAGACACGAAGAAAGATAAGATTAACAAGGTTTAATTCAGGAATTGTCCTTTGCTCACATCGTGAACACGAATGAGCATAATAAAGAAAACATTGACCTTTATAACTTTCACAAAAACGGCATATTTCCCTATGAAATCATGACGAACATAACACTTGTCCATGGTCTTCATCAACCCACTTCTGTGGTCACCGTTCATTGTAACTTTGTCAGCCAGCAGTCGACATCTATAACGGAAATCATAATTCTCAAAGTAAACTCTTGAGTACCGAATGAACAACGACATGTAAACACTGGAGGTAGGGGAACTTGATCCTTGATTTCAGGCCAGGGGGGGAATGTACTATCGATGTGGTCTCGCTTATTAAAGACAACATATTATCAATAAATCTTATTGAGAAATTAAAGGATTTGGCAAGGTTTATGTCACCAACCCTGATAAGCTCATCAGGAAAATCTAGCCCCCGCACTCTGCAAAGAAATTGCCAACCATGAACTCAATCATTTAAACAGTTTTGCAATTAGTTTGTTTTATATTTACCATTGCTGGTCTTTCCAAAAACTGCTTGCAGAAACAATTACAGCTTTATATCTATATCGTCTTTCTTTCTTTTTTGTGAGAAAGAAAGCTCCTTTACAAGGAGAAAGAATGCTTTCCTTCAGTTTGGTATGAGGAATGGTAGTGTAAAGGGGTAAAGGGTCAAATATTCAAAAGCTTTGATCGACGAAACACCTTTAAAATGATGTTAAAGATTTACAAAACATGTTTTGAATTCCTTAAAATCCCAATGCATGTAGGACAAATTCACCGGTTGTACAAAGTTTTGAATTAAATTGAAATGTCGAGTGCTTGTTGACCCTACCTTAATTATGTTAATATGACAGTATACATCAAAGTATACAAAGGAGCCATGTATAACTGCATATTGAACCTTTCTTATTATGTTATATTGCCGTATTACGACCACATTAATCGTTTCATGTAGAAATATATAACATTATTGACACGAATTCTGGATTGTGCACTCAACATTCATAAATAACTGTTTGTCGTAGTATTTTTCCAAGGTCTTGCTTTTAAATCTGTACACAATATCATCCGTACCATGATAGTACATTCGTATCAGGTAAGACGTGGAAGTATGTAGCAGGTAACAAACACATGATTGATCTGACAGGTAACCCGCCAAGACTAGATCAAAGGACAGGCATAATCACATTGACGTCAACAGTAAGGACATGCGCTAATATATATATGAAACGTGTTAATTTCTAAATAGAAAGGAAATACAGGAAGACAGGAAGATTAAAGTGTTTAGCTTGTTTATTATTTAAAACTTTTACATACGAGAATGACTCTATTCATGCCGTTTTAAGATTTTTCCAAACCCCCAAGCGGCGCGAAGCACCGCTGGGCTTTGATATGTAAACACTTTATCCACTTCCATTGATTCCCCATGCATGAAAGCCTTCTGGGAAATTGAGGCCGCATACTGTCTTCAAAAATATGATAGTAAACGCCACAGTATCTGGCATTATTAAAATGTACATGTGAAATATCACGAATTCTCTATTTGATAAAAACATATCATAATGCAGTGCATCTTCGCTAGCCAAGGGTTGATCCGGTACGATCTACCTACTCTTGGTAGATCGTACCGGATCAACCCTTGGCTAGCGAAGATGAATGCAGTGAAGATATACGAAATATTTTATTGTCACATCTGAAGACGCATATGAAGACGTCACTCTTAGTATTTTCCAATCTGAACAGTACGTTTTATTCTCTGCTTACGTAGATTTTCACTTTCAAGTTTATGATGAATCGACGGCAGAATAAGTGGTTACAGTATGTGTTCCAGCTATGCAGCATACATTATTGTTTTTATATAATTACACTATTTATATAATTTTTGTATGGAAATATTACCAGATAATAGCAGCAAACGGCAAAATTGCGGTAAAAACTCATTCAAAATGGCGCTTAGTAGTGTTGTTAAGCGTGACGTCATAAGAACTTGGCGTCAAGAAATACGCTACACATTCCCACGCTGTTCTGATGTAGCAATATTAGCGTTGCGTGGCGTGACGTGAAAAAATGTAAGAAATAGAAAAATTAAATGGTTTTCCCGTTCAATATGAATTATTTCTTTCACTTGTATAAACCAGCGTTGTGGCAAAATGTGTCTTCATAACAGTCTCGAGAATGTACATTTGCGTGCTGTGTGACAAATATTGAGTGACAATATTGCTAAATGCAAAACTAATGCCATTAACAATTTATAAAACAACATACAGACATTCTTTTTTTCCTCCTTTGGGAAATTTCATGTGTCAAAACAGTTTTACAAAATGTATTTTAATTTATATATAAATATTGTTTTAAGAAGTAAATGTATTAAATAATGACGTATACATCAATAGGTTACTTATAGAAAACTCTCCATCTCACATACCATTCCTTTGATATTTCAAGCCATATTTATCATTAGTGTTTCCCACTCTATATCAGTCAACTATACATGTGAATGATCACCAAGTAAAAGGCTACACTGGCTACAGTGCTTAAATCTGGAAACTGTACATATGACAATACTTCTATAACATTTACAACACTCCATCATATTATCACGGCTTAAGTATAAACCCGGACATTCTAATATAGAATGCAATACAATATCTTTACTTGTTTTCTCACATATCTTACATATAACGACTTATTTCTCGCAAGATATTGAGTATTTAAATAATTCTACTAGATCCCATACATGTTGTTGAAAAATTTGTTTAGTGCTTAATTGCAATATTGGAAGTATTCCTTGATCACTATGGATAGCAGTATATCTCTTATGTTCATCACGTGTATTTAGTTTATATTTCCACCTTATATAAAAAGAAAATATATAAAAAATCTATTAATGAAACGTTTCCAGCATAACATTGCTTGTACGAATATATTTAGAACATAGTTACTGATAAATGGCTGTATTTTAAATTTAACCATTATGTTATATGTATCAGGCAAGAATCTTATTTGAGTTAGTTGATGAACTACCATACATAAATTGGCATAGTCTAAAAAATAAAAAGTGTTTTCCAAAACAATAGTTTCCATCTCTCTACTTCGCTCGACATATCAAATGGCCCTATACACTGAGCAGTCACTGCTGAGGAGGAAGTTTTAGGAAGACCAATACAACGTCTACATGCATATCTCTGTGTACGTTCCAACTATTCTACAGCTTTCTTAGTATATGAGTTCCAAAGCTCACATCCATACAATATACCTGAATATAAACACTTTTAATAATATTAAAAAATTATTGCAGGGCACACAAGCATAACAAATCCTACTGCTTGATGGTAGGTTATGGGTAAACGTTATCCCAGCGTACGTTTTCTATGATGTCATTGGAATTATATCAGAACCAATTTTACATTGTATAGGCCCACATTCTTCTGACATCACACGTCGACGTGGAGATTGAAATACTACTAGATAGCTCTTTGTAGAGCTATAGTTGATGTAAGACCTTCGGCGTGTTCAATTAAAACACACAAGTCCTCCGTTGTTCGAGAATGGTTTATTTCTCATTCATGTCTCTCGGAAGAGAGAGCCTGTAAAATATATATTTACACAATAGTCACTTCTATTGATAATCTGTAATAATGTACAAAGATGGTAATCAATTGTTCATTATGAACTTAATAAATGGATATATATTATATATATTATACTAGAGTTTATAGTTAGTCTGTCTTACCAGGGCCTCGTCCGGGTGGTAAGTCCTTGGCAGATTATTGCTTCATCTAGCATGATCTGCTGTTCAGCTCGGAGTGACTGGGTAAGGGTTTGTGCTGTGTGAGGTAAAGTGGTTGCGCATGCGTCGTTCATATAGAACGACCTGCATGCACAACCTCAGGTATACGTTCTTTCACTCAGGTGTGACATAACATGCTCACATACATGTGGCAAAGCCCATGTACTGGGTGACCCTAGGTATAAATATACACCCAGTCTACATTGAGATGCCAACGAGTAGAGTATGTATATACTACAGTCGAACCTCGTTATCTCGAAGTCGACGGGATCGGTGGAAAACCTAGAGTTATCCAAGAATTCGAGTTAAGTGAGTTCCTCTCCGACAGTCAGAGTATTAAACAGTCAATAAATGACAAACAGATAACGATATCAAATAAAAAATAACAATTTATTCATAATCATATTAATTAATTAATCGATTAATGTTACAATAACCACACATATA